TTGAGCACGGGGATTTGTTCTATCTGTCTGATTCAACTGGAACTCCCAGAGGGCAGGGCAGGGAGGTATTAAGAGTTCCTTCCACGTGTAGCTACCATGCCTAGTACATGCTCTTCACACAATAAACACTCACGAACTATCTAAACTGAGTCTCTGAAGACAAGAGTGACATTAAGCGCCCTGAACAGCCAGTTCTTAATAACGCAAAACTGAACAACTAGAAATGGTACCTGGAGGAAATTCAGAGGCTGTGCACAGAAGAAGGCAAAGGCACTTCCAGAAGCACTGCCCTGATATTCAGATCTTAATCAGCCAAAATCAGCCTGGGCCAGGGCCATGTATCTGCCAGCAGATTTGCATGCATAACTAGAGATCCACTCCAGTTTCAAATACATAGGGGAGCTCTGAGCCAGGAGACGGGTTTCGTGCTGTCACCATTTTGGCGGTGGCCCAGGACACGTCACCTCATCCTTTTGGGCTTGGTGTCCCTATCGTCTTAGTAGTGTTTCCACCAGAGCTATTTTAACAATCATGGAATTCCACCTTTCTCCCCTTTCCAACATTTACTGAATGTGATGCCTCCCATCCATGCTGGAGGCAGGTTGGCGTGTGAGTAAAGAAACAGACTCTGGAGTTGGGCGTTCTGGGTTCAAAACCCTCGCTCTGTAGCATCCTCACTGTATGAATTTGGTCAATGGGACTCCTCTGAGACCTGTCCCCAGACTTTTTGGTACCAGGGACCAGTTTCATCCAGAGCACGATGGTGGTAGTGGTGGGTGGGTGGGTGGGTGATATCTGGATGATTCAAGAGTGCTACATTTATTGTGCACTTTATTTCTATTATTATCACATCAGCTCCACCTCAGATCATCAGGCAGTAGATCCCAGAGGTTGGGGACCCCTGCTTTAGAGGGTTTGGTGGACAGATTAAATCAACTCATCTGTGCAAATTCCTTAGGACAGTGCTTGTTACACAGTGAGCTCTAAGTGTCAGCAACGACTTGTCTGATTTAAACCTTGCAGTATCACGTGAGGTAATGATTACTTTGCCATCTTAAAGACAGGGAATGAGGAGCAGAGAAGTCACCCAGCTGGGAAGGATAAAGCTTGCACTGAGCTCACGATATCTCACTCAGGACTTTTTGCAGAACCCTAAAATATTAAAGCTGGAAAACACCTTCCAATCATCTCATCCCGTCTTGACGAGCCCAGAGAGTGGAACGGACTTGCCTACAGACACGTACGTGAGGTACTTGACCCAGCAGGGCCTGGGCTCCAGCCTCCCATGGCTGCTTGGGACCCTGGTGCCCAGAGAAAGAAGCCTCTGTCTCTGCCCAGTCACTGCCCTCCCTCCTGGGCAAGGAGAGGAGCCCAGAAGCTTGTGGGGACTTGACCGACTCTCCAGCCAGGCACAGGCCAGGTGCTCAGAGAAGCCGCTGTTGTCTCTGGCCGCTCCAATCACTCCTTTTGTGCAGTCATTCCAGTCTCGGGTCCCCTCCCAGGGGGACGGTCATCCACCAGCTCCTGCCTGGACTTGTCCTCTCTGCAGCTCCCCTGGGTGCCGAGGCAGGGGGACTCTGAGAGTGGCTGTTCTTGCTGCCGGGCCCACGCTGCTCCCCGTTCAGACTCAGCACTGGGCAGGGGGTGCTGAAGGGCGAGATCCTGGGGGAACGGGCTCCTGCCCCCTCCTCAACAGCTCACTGTTCCCTGCCTTGTTCTTGAAAGTGATAGCGAAGTTGCTTAGTTGTGTCTGACTCTTTGTGACCCCATGGATGGTAGCCTACCAGGCTCCACGGTCCATGGGATTTTCCAGGCAAGAATACTGGAGTGGGCTGCCGTTTCCTCCTCCAGGGGATCTTCCCAACCCAGGTCTCCTGCATTGCAGACAGACGCTTTACCATCTGAGCCACTAGGGAAGCCTTGTTCTTAGGCTCTTTTTATAAAAAATGATATATTTAACCCAACGTATTAAAATTATTACTTCAGTGTGTAGTCACTAATGAGGGGATCTTACTTTTTGTACAAATTGTTAAACTCTGATACAGATTTTAATACTACAGCGCAGCTCATTTTGGATGCTACATTTTCAGGGGCTAGGGACCAAAAAGTGGAAAAATCTACATGTCCACCAACTGGTAAATTAACAAGAGGTAGTATATCCATACAGTTGGTCAGTTCAGTTCAGTCGCTCAGGCAGTCGTGTCCAACTCTTTGCGACCCCATGGACTGCAGCACTCCAGGCTTCCCTGTCCATCACCAACTCCTGGAGTTTACTCAAACTCATGTCCGTTGAGTCAGTGATGCCATCCAACCATCTCATCCTCTGTTGTCCCCTTCTCCTCCTGCCTTCAGTCTTTCCCAGCATCAGGGTCTTTTCAAATGAGTCAGCTCTTCACATCAGGTGCCCAAAGTATTGGAGTTTCAGCTTCAGCATCAGTCCTTCCAATGAATTTTCAGGACTGATCTCCTTTAGGATGGACTGGTTGGATCTCCTTGCAGTCCAAGGGACTCTCAAGAGTCTTCTCCAACACCACAGTTCAAAAGCATCAATTCTTCTGCACTTAGCTTTCTTCATAGTCCAACTCTCACATCCATATATGACTACTAGAAAAACCATAGCTTTGACTAGATGGACCTTTGTTGGCAAAATAATGTCTCTGCTTTTTAATATGCTGTCTAAGTTTGATCATAGCTTTTCTTCCAAGGAGCAAGAGTCTTTTAGTTTCATGGCAGCAGTAACCATCTGCAGTGATTTTGGAGCCCCTCAAAATAAAGTCTCACTGTTTCCATTGTTTCCCCATCTATTTGCCATGAACTGATTGGACCGGATGCCATGATCTAAGTTTTCTGAATGTTGAGTTTTAAGCCAACTTTTTCACTCTCCTCTTTGACTTTCATTATTCAGCCTTTAAAAGGAATAAAGTACAATAGGAGGAAGGAAACCTTGAAAAAAAAAAAGAGGCTAAGGAAAGGAAACCAGACACATATATATTACATATATATATATAATGATTTCTTTTATGTGAAATGTCCAGAATAGGCAAATCCATAAAGAAAGGAAGCAGATGGTGGTTTCCGGGGGACTAGGAGTTGGGTTTTGGAGTGACTGCTACTAGGGACAGGGTTTCTTTAGGGGGTGATGAATTGCTCTGGAATAAGTGTGATGGGTGTATAACCTCGTGAATACACCAATAGTCATTAAGTTGTATACTTCCAAATAGTGAATTGAATGGTATAGGAATTCTGTCTCGATTTTTAAAATGAATGCTATATTAAAAATAAAATGTAGTCATACCAAAACAGTAAAGTTGTCTTTTTTGTCCTTTTTCAATTTATTTTTTACATTGAAGTATATTTGATTCACAATGTTGTGTTAGTTTCAGGTACAGCAAAGTGGTTCTGGCATACATATACATTTATCTGTTCTTTTTCAGATTCTTTTCCAGTGTAGGTTATTACAGAGGCTGAGTAGGGTTTCCTGTGCTGCACAGTAAAAAAAAGGGAAAGTCAAAGTCACTCAGTCGTGTCCTTGCAACCCCACGGACTAAACAGTCCGTGGAATTCTCCAGGCAGAAATACTGGAGTGGGTAGCTGTTCTCTTTTCCAGGGGATCGTCCCAACCTAGGGATTGAACCCAGGCCTCCCACCTTGCAGACAGATTCTTTACCATCTGTCCTTGTTAATTAGCTATTTTATATATAGTAGTGTGTGTATGTTAATCCCAAACTCCTAATTTATTCCCACCCCGCCCCCACCTTTTCTCTTTGGTAACCATAAATTTGTTTTCAAAGTCTGTGAGTCAGTTTCTATTCTGTAAATAAGTTCATTTGTGTCTTTATTTTAGATTCCACATATAAGTGATATCGTATATTTGTTTTTGTCTGAATAAAGCTGTTTCTAATAGGAAAATATTCTACGCCGATTCAGTTTCCAAGTTTAAACGTAAATTAATTGAAATGAAATTTAAGATTTAGTTCTACAGGGACAGTTGCCACATTTCAAGCTGCACTAGGCACGTGGTGTATCAGGGCTACCATCCTGCACGATGCAGCTTTGAGGTATGGCTGCTCCAGGTCACCACCTGAGACTCTGACCGGCATCCTTGTCCATCTCAGGCCTGGGGAAATACTGAAGGGACCGGGGACAGATGGGACCAGGACACTGAGGTGAATGAATGAAGCTCTGAAAGCATATGTGTCTTTTTTTCCCCACAATGATGCAAAAGCATGACAGTTCTATCATTCTTTTCCAACAACAGCTCTTGTCTTACAGATGAGGAAATCCACAGAACATCAAAACCGGAAGGAATCATCGAGATAACCAGTCTCTCAAAAAAAACTACATCAAGTACAATTCACTGTTTGTGGTGCACAAACCGTGGGTTTTGACAAATGTGTGATACTGTGTGTCCTCCACCACAGTCACGACACAGAACAGTTCTGACACTCCCTGCGTCCCCTCGAGCGCCCTGTTACGTCTTTCGCTCCCATTTCTGTTCCGCCTGAGAGCTCTTCCTCTTGACTGCTGCAGCCGCCCTGTGTGGTGGGCACACGGCTCTCCTTTGCTCAAGGCCACTCAGCTCTCAGAGCCTGTGCTGGGAAGTGAACCCAGATCCACCAGCTCCAAAGTCCACATTCTGGTTTTCTTGGCTGCCCTGGCAGCATGCAGGGTCTTCGTTCCCCAACCAGGGATGCAACCTGTGCCCCCTGCAGTGGGACCTGGAGTCTTAACCCCAGGGCCGCCAGGGAAGTCCCAGAGTTCATGTTCTTAATGACAACTTCCCGAATTCGTTTACCGAGTGCCCACTGCGGCGCTGGTGTTCACTCAAACACGCTGTTTCCCTCAGCCCGCTTCACACAAGCCTTCCTTGGGGTGAATACAGTCTCCTGGGAGGTCGCCTCCCTCTGAAGTTTGCAGCCTCCCGGCTGGAGCAGCAGCAGGACAGCAAGCCCGAGGGAGGGCTGGGCCACTCGGAAGGCCCTCGTCACGGACCGCGGTGCTCTGTGACTGTGAGCGGGAGGGAGGCCGCGGCGCTCTGTGACTGTGAGCGGGAGGGAGGCGCGGGAGAGCCTCCGAGAAAGGTGGCTCCAGTAGCTGACTCCTGCTTGGAGGGCATTTCTCCTCATCCCCTGGGAACTACCACCTAGGGCTTCAAAATTTTCAGTTTTCAAACTTCATCAACCAGCAATGCTGTTTTACTCTTGAATGACTGGTTGTCATCTTCCCAATCTTCTAGATGTTTTTTTATAAGCTCTTCTCCTTCCTTGAAGTGGGGTGATACCAAGACTTCACCAAGGCTTAACTTCAGGTGAGGAGGAGGCAGGCCATTTTTGAGAAAACTGGAGACACTTAGACTAGAAGCTTCTCTCTGAGGCCTGGCTTTCTTCTGGCTCTTGCAGAGGACACAGCCCCAGACAGACGGAAGAGAGAAGCCTGGTTCCACATTCGAGATTCTGCTTGTCTCAACCCAGGTTTGAACAGAAAATTTTTATACACAAACCCCCTCTGAGAACAGATGGTAGTTCTAATGCCCAGCCTTTCAGGAGAAAGCAGAGGTGAGGGAAACCAAACATTTTAGGGCTGTGGAAAGACAGCCACTCCCACCCCTGTGCACTTCTGTGACAGCTCTCACTGTGGGAAGAAGCCAGGTCTCGGGGTGGGAGGGGACTGTGGTACAGTCAAACACAAATAATGAGCGATAATTTCTCATTAGCTTCAACCCCCTGGGCTTGGGGGGAAGGGTGGGTCTGAATTGAGGAAGGAGAGATAAAAGTGGAAATTAGCTATTGACATATAGACTTTTTGTCTGTATCCGAGAGACAGTTTAAACTAAGTCCAGATTTGATTAACCATGGATATCCTGGGGTTTGTGGATTTATCTTTAAAAAAAAAAATCTAATATATGTTTGCTGTAGAAATTTTTTAAATTTATTTATTTTGATTGGAGACTAATTACTTTACAATATTGTAGTGGTTTTTACCATACGTTGACATGAGCCATGGATGTACATGTATCCGCCATCCTGAACCCCCCTCCCACCTCCCTCCCTGTTGGGGAAAATTTTCAAAGTTACCAAAGGCAATCAATACCTAAAAAAAAATTTAAATGTTTTATACCACCATTCAATGCTAATCTTTTAAACCTGCCTGACTGTACTTCTGTCCATAAGTGGAACTTTTTTTTTCCACCAAAAATACGGAATTGCACATCAGCCACTGTGTTTTATAAACTTGCTTGCCCCCTCCCCTGAAAAAAGTAACCGTATCAGTGGTTTGGCTTTGTTGTTGTTGTATTCAGGATGACCCTATCAGTAGTTTTTGGTTAGACCAGGTAAATTATTAATACAACCAGAAATGACGGCCCCAGCATCCTGGGAGAGGAATCCAGGACACACAGCAGCTTCAGGGCGGCATGTTAAGGAGATAAACTCTTCCTTTGCTTCTCATTAAGCACGGCTGTTAAAACAGTCGAGGTCCAAGATGAAAGGGAAGAGGTGTCAGGGCTGAGTCAGCACCTGGATTTGCCAGGCCTGCCACCTGTTTTATTAAGTATGCCGGTGTGTGGAACGCCACGGAATGAAAAGAAAGGCGTTTTGTTCCCTGGGACTGTGTCCCCTCACCTTCAACCCTTCCCCCCCACCCACCTCAGCCAGAGAGAAATTGAGGGAAAAGCACCTCCAAAGTGAAAAGCTGCCCCCACAGACCTCCCTCAGAAACCTGGAAGCTCAAAAGAGCAGTGAACCAGATAGAACTCTGCTACGCAGGCGGAATTAGTGGTAAAGAACCCGCCTGCCAATGCAGGAGATGGTTTCAATCCCTGGGTCGGGAAGATCTCCTGGAGGAGGGCATGGCAACCCACTCCAGTGTTCTTGCCTGTAGAATCCCATGGACGGAGGAGCCTGGCAGGCTGCCGTCCATGGGGTCACAGAGTCAGACACGACTGAAGCGACTTAGCACGCGTACACCTTGGAGACCAAACTCGAGGCCTCTGAATTTTGAAAGAAGTGTGTGTACAGAATCCCTCCTGTTCCACGCTGGTCATATGTGGTGTTTGCCCTCCATGGAAGGAGCTGGTGGGCTGGTGGCCCTCGGGAGCAAGAACCCCTCTGGGCCTGAGCTGACGTGGCTCCCAGTCCGTCCGCTGGAAGAAGCTGCTGCCCATCCTGCACCTTGTGCTTTCCAGTGGAAAGACCGAGTCGTCTGGCACAGTCTCAACCTGTGCAAGGCCATAAAGGACCTATAAAAGTCCTAAGACAGAATGCTCAGGGAGGAGGAAGCGCTAATTAAGGAAGTCCTGAATATGCTAAGTCCGCTCATTAATAAGAGGAACACAATAACAGGCAAAGTGGAGAAGCTCATAAATTAGCTAAGAAGCCCCAGCATAGTGTGGGTGGGGCCCAGCAGATGGGAACCGGGATTCATTTTGGGGGTTAATGGAGCCCTGCCTGGGCCTTGGCATTGCCCAATGCCAGGCGTGGTATTTCCTTCCTGGCTCACCGGGAGAGGTGAGTAAGTTGGAGCAAAACGATCGTAGCACAGTCACCACCAGCCAGGGTGATACTTGCTCTGGGCCACAGAAGGAAGTGGGTCACAGGAGACGATCAGCCTCGGTGCTCTGCCTTGGAGAGGTGCTACCAGATTAGTAAATAACTGTCCCCTCCCTCTCCTCCTCCCTGTTGCGCATCTTCCCCTCCCAGGAAGTCATCGTGGAGACAGGAGACAGGAAAAGGAAAACATGGACAGGATGACACAGGACCTCTAAAACCCCTTTCCCTCTGAGAGCGCCAGGCTTTACCCTGCGGTCACTGCCAGCCTCCGTGTTGGGCAAAAGACCAACACGTTCATCTAGGGAGAAACTCAGAAACAGAGAGGTTCAGTGATTGAATGCCACTCACTCAGCAAATCCAGGGATCCATTTCATTTGCTCTCCGTTCAGGATCCTGTTGTTTACTGCACAGCTGGCGACTTTGACAGCTTAATAAAATCAAAATGGAAACCCCATGACTCAGTCCACTTTTTCATGACTCAGGGTCTGGACAAAATTGAAAATGTCACATGCGACAGGTCTAATAACAAGAGGTTTCCTAACGCTCTGATGTCTGTATCTGTGAAGACAGTGATTTCTGTGTTCTTCGTCAATGCACCCTAACAACAGCAGCAGTGATTGAATGATATCTGATTCTTACTGAACCCTGGTCTGTCCCAGGCACTTAGATCCATTTTCTCAGCTAGTCCTTGCAACACACATGGCAAGAAACCCAGGCTCAGAGCGGAGATGTGACAGCCCGGGATGACACAGGTCAGAGTCAAGAATCAAAGCCAGGGTTTCTGGGCTCCGGAGCCCAGGTTCCTAACTGGACGATTACAACTAGGTTTTGGTCCCGTGTGGGATGCACGCTGGGGTGGAGGGTAAGCTCCTAGACCCTAGGGCTGGAAAGACCTTGGAGCCTGTTTAGGCCACCACCTTCACTGTGGATCACTTGGCCTCCCTGAGCCTCAGTTTCCTCATCTGAAAAACGGAGGAAATGACGCCCTGTGTGAGGATCAAAATGAGATACATCACATAAAGCACCTAGTGCACATAGTAGTCAGTCGCTGGGCTGGGAGTGCCGGCTTCTGGGGGCACCCAGGCGGGAGGGGGGCGGGGAGGGGCCTCGGAGCCCTTAGAGGAGCCCGTCTTCATCATATCCACAATTTCAGTGAAACCCATAATTATAACCCCTCCTGTCAGCCCCAGGGGCAGTGATAGGATCTTTGCTGCTCTCCAGGGTCAAGTCTGATTGCTACATGGATGGGCAGACACAGGGTTCCAAGGGAGACGGGTGGGAACAGGTGGGAGGGGGCGCTTTTCTCCGCGGCAGGGGTGGGACACACCCAGAACCGCACCGCGGGGCACCCACCCAGGCCTCTTTCACAGGAGATCGCAGAGTGAGATCGAAAGCCTTGGAGTTCCTGTCCTGCTTTGTCTGTTTTTTCCCCAAGAGCTCATACATAACGTGCCGAATTTGAGCTGAATTCATGCTAAATAACAGCTTTTGTCAATTGAATTCTTACCATATACCAGGCTCTGGGATAGGGCATATTCTAAGTATTCTCTGATTTAATCCTCATCACATCCCCGTTGGGTGGTACCAATTGCTCATATATTCGTAGCAGTTACTATATGCCAGACACTGTCCTAAGCACTTCATGTGTAGTAATTTATCTAGTCATATGAGGTAGGTTCTATTATTACCCTGTTTTTATAGATGGGGAAACTGAGACTCAATGATGTTAAATAACCTAACCTGCTTAAGGTCCCCAGGGCTAGAAAATGAGACAGCCAGGACTCAAAGCAGGGAAGTCAGGACCTAACCACGTGTGTCCCTCCTACACTGTAAGACTTCTGTACCCTGTGAACTACTGTTTGTCCCCATTAGATAGGTGAGCAAACTCAGGCTCAGAAATGATCCACAGCCAATCAACATCAGAGTCGGGAGCCGGCGCCAATGCCCAAGCTCAAATCATTATCCCAGACTGGCCTACCTCCCACGTCCCACATGGCCTTCCTTCAGGCGGACACGGATGATATGACTGGAGGAGAAGTGAGGGGCTTCTCGCCCTAACTGCAGGAATAACCAATAATCACAGCCCAGTCCTATTCTCATTTTATGGAAGAGAAAAATGTGGTCCAGGAGGTGAGTTCCCTGCCTGGCTGGAGAGTGATGGGGCTGCCCCAAATCCCTCACTGCTGACCGGAAGCCCTCCTGTGTCCCCTACTCCAGGCAAGGGGTCTGAAATTGTACTCTGGGAAATTCTCTCTTCTGGGTCCGGAAGGTATTTGGTCTTCAAATCATTTAAAAAGTATCTGTTGAAAGAGAAGCCACTACAATGAGAAGCAGCTAGAGAGTAGCCTGGGAATAGCAACAAAGACCCAGTGCAGTCAAACATGAACAAACACATCTGAACCAAAAGTAAAGGTGGGTTTCTTTAAAAAAAAAAAAATTGTGTGTTGAGCAGCACCCTTGCTGTCTCCAGTTTTCTTGAAGAGATCTCTAGTCTTTTCCATTCTGTTGTTTTCCTCTATTTCTTTGTGTTGTTCACTTAAGAACCCTTTCTTATCTCTCCTTGCTATTCTCTGGAACTCTGCATTCAGAGCATATTCAGGGCATATCTTTCCCTTTATTCTTTGCCTTTCACTTCTCTTCTTTTCTCAGCTATTTGTAAGGCCTCCTCAGACAAACCTAGACAGCATATTAAAAAGCAAAGACATTAAATTTGCCAACAAGGTCCATCTAGTCAAAGCTATGGTTTTTCCAGTGGTCATGTATGGATGTGAGAGTTGGACCATAAAGAAGGTTGAGGGCTGAAGAACTGATGCTTTTGAACTGAAATGCTGGAGAAGACTCTTGAGAGTCCCTTGGACTTCAAGGAAATCCAATCAGTCCATCCTAAATGAAATTAACCCTGAATATTCACTGGAAGCACTGATGCTGAAGCTGAAGCTCCAATACTTTGGCCACTTGATGCAAAGAGCCAACTCATTGGAAAAGACCCTGATGCTGGGAAAGATTGAGGGCAGGAGGAGAAGGGGCTGACAGAGGATGAGATGGTTGGATGGCATCATTGACTCAATGGACAAGAGTTTGAGCAAACTCCAGGGGATATCGAAGGACAGGGAAGCCTGGAGTGCTTCCCTGGGGTCGAAAAGAGCCAGACACAACTTGGTGACTAAACAACAACCCTTGTTCCCGGCATTGTACTGAGTCAGAAGTTTTTAAGCTTTTGTAGAAGCTTGGAAACTCCAAGAGAGGTCCCCAGGCAGGGTCTGAGGAGTCCCCCTGGCCCCTTTCCCCATCTCCACCCAGAACTGCTTTTCTTGTATTTGTTTTAAACTGAAAGTGAAAGTGTTAGTTGCTCAGTGTGTCTGATTCTTTTCAAACCCATGGACTGTGTAGTCTACCAGGCTCTTCTGTCCATGGAATTTTCCAGGCAAGAATACTGGAGTGGGTTGCCAGGCTCTCCTCCAGGGTATCTTCCCCACCCAGGGATCAAAGCTGGGTCTCCCTCATTGCAGGCAGATTCTTTACTGTCTGAACAGTAAAGAATCTTTTGGAAAAAGAAGTCTACCCTTAAATATGCTTGAAAATTACCATGTTTGGTTCTGGGGCCTGAGAGATGATGTGACATGTTCCTGGCCTCAAAGAGCTGCGGGGGACAGACACACAGACAAATCCATCGCAATGCAGCGGCGACCTTAGTCACCACCCAGGCTGGAGACAGGAAGCAGTTCGGGGACTTCCCTGATGGTTCAGTGGCTCAGACTCTGCATTCCCAGTGCAGGGGAGCAGGGTTTGATCCCTGGTCAGGGAGCTAGATTCCTAGTTGCCAAAACTAAAATTCCCGTATGCCACAACTCAGACACGGCGCAGCTAAATTAAAAAAAAAAAAAATTTTTTTTTAAAATAAGAAGTGGTTCACCCTGGGGCAAAGGAGGGGGCTGAGTAGTTAGGGAACGTTTCTTGGAGGAGAGGACTTTGAATCAAGTTTGCAAGGATTGGATTCCCTGTACAGCTAAGATGGGAAAGGCCATTTCAAATACAGGGGGACAGCCAGGTAGAGGCACAGAGGTGTGAAGAAAAGTGATGTACACTGAGGGAGCCTTGAGTCCTGGACTCAAAGATCTGAGACACCAGCATGTTATTAGCAGCTAGTGGCTGAACATTAACTTACGGAGCAGATGACTTTTCAACTGTCGATGACTTTTTTAAACAATCTTTTTTTAAGATGTATTTATTTCTTTTAGTTTTTGGCTGTGGTGGGTCTCTGTTGCCGCACCCCAGCTTTCTCTAGTTGCAGCAATCGGGAATCACGCTTCGTGGCAGTGCTCGGCTTCTTCTTGTGGTAGCTTCTCTGGTTGCCAGGCACAGGCTCTAGATGGCTCGGGCTTCCGTGGTCGAGGGGCTTCCCTGATAGCTCAGCTGGTAAGAAATCCACCTGCAATGCAGGAGACCCCTGTTCAATTCCTGAGCTGGGAAGATCCTCTGCAGAAGGGAACAGCTACCCACACCAGTGTTCTTGCCCAGAGAATTCTATGGACAGAGGAGCCTGGCGGGCTATAGTTCATGGGGTCACAAAGAGTCAGACATGACGGATCTCCGTAGCTGAGAACTCTGGAACGCAGCCTCATTACTTGTGGCTCAGTTGGGCTTAGTTACTCCGAAGTATGCGGGATCTTCCCAGATCAGGAATCGAACCCATGTCCCTTGCATTGTAAGGTGGATTCTTAACCACTGGACGACCAAGGAAGCCCTAAACTGTCATTGACTTTCACTGTTAACATCCTCCTTGTATCCAAGAGTTCATTTACTGTGTCAGTCTCGGTGCCAGGCTGGGGGACAAGAGCATGAGCCGGACAAAGCTCCCTGCTCGCCAGCATCCTAAGGTCAGGGGTGGGGAGGGGCACAGCCCAGGCTGCTGGCAGATGAGACTTTCTGAGGGTGGGAATGGTGGGGGGCCGGGAGAGGGGGGAGGAGGGGCAATGATGTAGAGTTAGCTGCTGACGCCCAGGGACAGGCAGGCAAGATACGATGTGTTCCAGCAGGCACAACCCGGAAGGGCTGCATGGACTAGGTGGCACTGAAGCTTGGCTCGGAGACGGACGTGGGGAAGATGGCGATAGACACGAATGGGAGAACACATTCTGGGCTGAGGCAGGAACAGCAGTGGGAGAGGCAGAGAGACAGGAATGCACGGGTGTGACCAGGGAGCAGCCGGGTTGGGGCCCAGCATTCATTTCGAGGAACAAAGTGGACAGAGATAAGGTTTGAAAAATTCTGTTGACACCCAGTAATTTGGGCACTGGGATCTGGGCACCATCCTGAGCAGGACACAGCCCCACTCTCCCACCACCCAGTAGGGTGTCAGCCTCCTGGGAGTGCCTCTGAGGGATAAGAGCCATCACAGCCCAGAGGGACAGTATCTGGTAGTGGCTGGGGAGGCAACTTCC